TTTTTGTCATGGAAATGTGAAGACTACATTCAGAAAATTTTTTATGACATTTAAGGCAAATTTTAAATCAACACCAATATTCTTTAGCCGAAATAAAAGAAATTTATTTTACTTCTACCCCTAGCGGACAAACCGGACTAAGGGTAAGCTTGACCTTTTTGGCTACTTTAAAAGTGCTCAATACAAAAATTAAAATTTACCATCTCAATACTCTATTATTACAAGCAGGAAAAAATAAGTGTATTAGTTTGCTAACTATCGATAGTAGAGAAAGCAAGTATTATGCAGCGATCTATGAAGAAAAAAAATGTTTATTAGAAACCCAAATTATTTCCCAAGAAACTTTAAAAAATTTAACTAAGGACTTTCCGGATTTTTCTTTGATGAAAGACTACCAAAATGTCAATTTTTTAACCAATTTCCAAGAATTAAAAAGTGAATTCATTTTACTTCACGATGTAGAAGAAATTGACTATTAATTAGTAGACTATTTGTTTTTTAAATAAAAGAAAACTCCAATAATGATTACCAAAAGAATGAAAAAAAGACCAAACAACCAATAATAAAGGCTCTTAATTTTCTTTTCATTTCTTTTTTCTATCTCCGCCAATTCTTTGGCGACTAACTTTTTGATTTCGGCTTGATTTTTTTTTACAGATTCCTTCAATTGCTGCTCCAACTTTTCTTTTAAATTGTTGAGAAAAGAATTTGTTTTTTCTACTTCCATAATTTAATTTTTCATTTAATTCACTTTTTAGTACAGTGTTAGTTTAACTAATAACAGTTGAAAGATCGCCATAAATTTTTACCGCACTGCTGGGAATATTTTTGTTAACCAGTATGAATTTCAAAGTTTATTAAATGAAAAGGTTCGGGATCTAGGGTTTTTGAATTAAAAATTTGAAAACTAACTTTATTTATTACTAAATCTAGAAAGATAGTCAAAACCATCCATGATTAATTCTTCACAAGTCCAAGAATCTATTGGTCCATAATTACTATATTTCTTAGCAAATTCTTCTTTGATTTCTTTAATTTTCTTATTTACAAAATCTTTTATTTTGCTTGGAATTAAGTGTACTAAGATTGAATAATTATTACTTC